CAATAACGGAGAATCAAGTCCGCCATGCAACGCTACCCGACAACTTCCGAATCAGCAATATCGAGGAAGTCAAGAACCCGGAATTTGGTGATGTGAGAGATATACACTATGCGCCACATCAAGCCGTTGGTGGAGAAGATAGGACCACGACAAGAGTGCGTGTTGTGTACGATGCGTCATTCTGCTCAGGCAAGGGCCCGTCGATCAACGTCTGCCTCAACGCGGGACCCCATCTGCTGGAGAAGCCCCATCTACTTGAGAAGCCCCCCTGGTGGGGCGGGTTCTTTGAGAGAATGGTGAGATGCGTCAAGCGTTGTCTCAAGAAGATCCTACACCTTTGATTGCAATATCATAAGTATTCGTTGTTGAGCTACAATACATGCATTCGTTCAGCCTTATGTACCTCAACGGAGGGAGTGTTAGATATTGCATGCGTCTTCACTCTGTACATTGACTCTTGATTTGACGGCTGCATGCATCTCTTGTATTTATGGCTACTGTGTGTTACCGTCGGACAACATTACGATTTATTGTTACATGTACGTTCTATGTCAAGTCAACCCTGTTCCCATTCGTTTTCTAGTTCTATACTTACTGCCATGACTTGTCCCGTTTATGGTTATACAGTCTTCTTCTTTTCCTGTCGTATTGCTTTCGTTTACCGGAGACTTCTACGGTATGTCTCTATTCGCCTCCACGATGTCCTTATCCTGACACTAGCATTTTCTGCGTCGCGTACGGCTGGTGGGAATATCTACCCCAGCCGTCGTGATGTAGACGCTTCCTCATCATAACTACTTGGAGGACAGTCACGAGTTTGAGTATCTCTGATACTAATGATAATGATTCTTACTGAAGTATGAGGAGAATTATTTCCGAGTGGAAAGACACTGAGTGTCTGTGTGTAATAACTAAATGAGCTCAACGAAGAGCCAAAACGTCCTTTAGGATTCTACTACTACTAGTACGGGCAGAACCAGAGTAGGATCTCTAAAACTTGGTCTGTCAACAGTGCTCTGCCTCAATTTATAGCTGATTTCTTTGCCCTTCGAGTGGACAAAATAAATTCGAAAAATCGCTCTGGGATGCAACAATTTTAATGACGCGGAGGAAGTATGAAAACTGACTGGATGGTATAAATGATGCTATTGAAAGGTATCAACCACACGGCTGTCAAGAAGCGGCAACTGAGAAAGATGGCATCGGTTCGAGATGGCATGGTAACCGCGCACGTGCCGTGGTCCGTGACTTGCTCATGTATGCACGCAAGTGCAAGTCACAAACTCACAAAGATCATCTTTGCAGTTGGAGAAAATATGATCTTCGACTCTTGCTGGAGGTTGGCGAGGTTTGCCTAATCTTTACTTGATTGCGATGCCGGTATGCCCTCTCAATAATTAGAACATAGAGAGCTGATGATCGCTTCATTGCTGAGCAGAAGTAACAATCAACTCTCCTCAAGTCCTCAGTGCCAAAGGCCGACGACTGCAGTTCCACAACGCTCATTTCACGATGATGGAAACAATAGTCGTGTACACACTTGGACCATTCGGTCATCCCTATTCTAGCCGCTAGTCCGCCCAGCAAGCAGATATTGACTATTACGATAAGGACAACTGCGTGAACGAGGGCTCGCCGAGCAAATACAATTCAAGACGTGACTCCAGTCAAGAATTAGGATCTTTATACTCGAGAACTTCACACCAATACAGGCCTAGGCACCCCACAAAACTGATAGATGGCACGAACGAAAGACAAATAGGCTAGACAAAGTGTCCCAAGTGACTGAAAACAGCAGATCTACCAAAATAATAAGACAGCTACAGCTACACAGTTGCCTAAACAATGATTCAAATACAGTAGAGAGTAGTATCAGGCAGAATGAAAGCCTTGGAAGTGCACAAATACAGCCCGCCAGAGACAGTGACCAATGGCTCCTACTGCACTTCCCTGCCGTGCGCCACGACAAGGCGACCACGAAAGTGAGGGTTGTCTTCGATGCAGCGGCTCGTCAGCAGGGCGTGTCTCTCAACGATGAGATGTACACTGGTCCGAATATTCAACATGACCTGATTCACGCCCTACTCCGGTTCTGCCGTGAACCGGTCGCGATTGTAGGAGACATTGAAGAGATGTTCCTGCAGGTCCAGCTACAACAACAAGATCGGTGGTACGTATGCTTCTTGTGGCGCAATTCGTCGGACGAGCAACTATCCGTTTACGAGTTTACTCGGCTCGTGTTCGGACTGAAGGCATCACCGTTCATCGCCTGCCGAGCTCTGAGGGAGGTAGCCGCACAGCGTAGGGAACAGTACGACTCAGCAGCCCGAGCAGCAGTCGAGGAATCGTTCTACGTTGACGATTTCCTGAACTCACAACCATCAGTACCAGCAAGCATCTCAGTATGGCAGGGGGTGCAGTACCTGTTCCACATGGGCTCGTTTCACCTGCGGAAATGGCGCAGCAACAGCCGTGACGTGCTCCGTTCTATCCCGGAGGCCGACCGAGCAGCCGACGCACTGGTGAGCATCGATGATTGCAGCGACGCCGCATCAGCTGCAGTCGTCAAGATGCTTGGTGTCGTGTGGGACGCAGCATCTGACACGTTCAGCTATCGCTACAACACACCGGACGACCAGCGGCTGACGAAACGAAGCATCCTATCCAAGATGGCCAGCATCTATGACCCACGAGGTCATACTTCGCCATTTACGATAAGGGCTCGACTGCTGTTCCAGGCGGCATGCATTCTCGGCTGTTCCTGGGATGACCGTCTCCCATCAGAGCTAGAGACCAAGTGGCAGAGGTGGTTTGCAGAACTACCAGATCTAGCTGGGATCAAAGTGCCACAATGCTTCTGTCGCATCCCTGGCTCTCAGTGACCGGACCCCCGAAATCACTACGAGCGACGACTGAATATAGACGTGTGGCCTCACGACAAGCCCAACACAACCCAGGGGCCAACCAATATAGCTGGCTTGGTCCAAGTTCAACCCCACACGATCAACAGACAAAGACTGTTAGTTTTACGTTGTGAGTAGTATCAAATCCGAGCTCAAAGTAAACGAAGACAGAGAGCTGAGACCGAGTCTCGACTGCTAGACTAGACTAGACCAGACTAGACTAGACTAGACTAAAACTGAAGTAAAGGAGAGAATTAGAGCTTCTTTTATAGGGTGCTTCAGAGATATATGGCATGATCATTGCGAGGTAATTCCAGGAAATAGCAGAACAGATAATGCTGCCGGGCCGGCTCCACCACCTGTGTCCTGCAGTGTTCCCATCGGATGGCACTGGGGTTCTGAGGGGACCCGGACCACATCCCTGCAACAGAAGTGCAGGTTGGAGCAGCTGGCCCATCAACCAGTGCCGATACTCCGGCTTCTCAGGACATGGATGTTATCCAGGCTGTTGGCGAGGTCCGTGCCGCATCGAGACGTGCTCGTATCCAGCAAAGAAACGCCAAGCAAGCTGCGACCCTTAGTCTTCAGCCGGTTCTACCAGTGGAGCAGCGACGTCTGGTTACATTAGCGGGCGAGAAGGGTTTGTCATCCTGGGTAACAGCCACACCATCAAAAGCTAACAAAGTAATGTATTAGTTACAATACTGAAGAAATCGGACTTCAGAGGTGCACTATGCATTCGTTACAACCTGGGTCTGGAGAGCCTTCCACCGTCATGCGTGTGTTGAAGCCAGCTTTCCTTAGATCATGCCCTTACATGTCCGTGTGGGGGCTTTAATCCCGCGTGGACATCAGGGCTCGGGGGTTCTGGACGCGGCAGCAGGATGCCTTTTTGATATGCGGGTTACTCACACCAAGGCAACTGTGCTGTCACGTTCAAAAGTCCTCAGCCAATTTAAGTCCAACGAGCAGGCCAAAAAGCGGAGCTACTGTGAGAGGATCAATGTTATCGATTGAGGCAGTTTTACGCCCCTGGTATTCGCAACCAACGGTATGTGTGGAGTGGAGGCGACATGTTTTCTAAAATCGCTTGCTGCGGATCTCGCGGATCGCCACAGAATATCGTATTCCATTGTGGTAGGGCACCTCAGATGCAGCATCTCCTTCTCCCTCCTTAGGTGGGCGGTAACCTGCCTAAGGGGGTGTAGAGGGAGCTATGCTAGGCATGGTTTTGGCCGCCATCTAGTTCAGCTGTGTAAAATGCATTCTGTGTGAGTGCCAGGGAACCGTCCCAGACAGACAGTTTTGACATCATATTGCTATTGCGTTTTTCCATTGAGTTTCCTTTTCCTGCTTGTCGCATTTTTCCTTCTTCTATTAATTTTATTTTTAGAGTTTTGGTTTTTTTATCAGTTTTGGGTTGCTTTATTCAATTGGTTCCATTCTTTGCCCGTAAAAGTGGCTTTCCATGATGATGATGATGATGATGACGTTTCCGTTTCCTGCTTTTCGCACTTTTCCTCCTTGTATTTTTTTAGTTTTTTAGTTTGTATTTTGGTTCTTTTTCTTCTTTGCGTTGCATTCAACTCTTTTGAGTTCGTATTTATTTGTGTTCTCACTTCTTGAGTTGTTTCATTCAATTGGTTCCATTCTTTGACCGTAAAAGTGGCTTTCCATGATGATGATGATGATGATGATTGATAATCCGTCATGTAATATGAAGTTGAAGACACCACTGCAGCTGTACTTATAGTTGATAAATATGGTGGTAAAGACACACCTGGCACTTGAATATGGCGGTAAACACACGCCTGCCCACACACGCTCTCTAGGCTGCAACGTTCTGGCACAGAGCTCTCCTTCTCACCACCACCACCATCAGTTCGCGCCTGGCGCCTGGTCGATGCATGGTTGGCGGTATCTGGCATAGCAGGCTGGTACATCAAGTAGCGCATGGCACATAGAAGATGACACAGCAACGACATAGCTCGATTGCGACGTACGTTTCGTCCCTGCTGGACTCACCAGGCAATCTTCTTGGATGTCTTCATACGGAGCTTGACTCATGTAATATTTTCAATTTTTTTGCTTGTGCAGACTTGTCAACCATTTCCTCGCAGAGTTCAAGCGAAAGCACAAGAAGGACCTGGGCAACAACAAGCGCGCTGTCCGTCGCCTACGCACTGCCTGCGAGCGAGCGAAGCGCACGCTCTCCTCGAGCACGCAAGCAAGCATTGAAATATACTCCCTGTTCGAGGGTGTCGACTTCTACACGTCCATCACTCGTGCTCGATTTGAGGAGGTGAGATGTCTGGTTGGATCTGTTTTTTGCTTGTGTTAGATTGTACCCAGGTCTTGGTGTCTGTTTTAGTGTTACGCCAGTAACCGTTATTGTACATGCACAAAAACTTGAATATCTATTAAACTAATTACTTTCGTGTGCTTGTGTCCGTATGTTACTTGCAGCTGTGTGCTGATCTCTTCCGTGGCACCCTTGATCCTGTTGAGAAGGCCATGCGCGATGCAAAGCTTGGCAAAGGTGAAGTCCATGACTTGGTCTTGGTTGGTGGCTCAACGCGTATTCCAAAGGTCCAGAAACTCCTCCAAGACTTCTTCAACGGCAAGGAGCTGAACAAGAGCATGAATCCTGATGAAGCTGTTGCCTATGGTGCGGCTGTGCTGGCAGCTATTCTGTCTGGTGACAAAAGTGAGGCCGTTCAGGACCTACTTCTGCTCGATGTTGCACCTCTCTCGCTGGGTATCGAGACTGCCGGCGGTGTGATGGCCTCGCTTATCAAGCGGAACACCGACGTCCCAACGAAACAAACACAGACTTTCACCACGTACTCTGATAACCAGCCCGGTGTACTGATCCAGGTGTATGAAGGTGAGCGTGCCATGACCCGTGACAACAACTTGCTGGGCAAGTTTGAGCTGGTTGATATTCCTCCAACACTGCGCGGTATACCCCAGATTGAGGTCACATTCGACATCGATGCCAACGGTATTCTCAACGTCAGTGCTGTTGACAAGAGCACCGGCAAGGAGAACAAGATCACCATCACCAATGACAAGGGCCGTCTCTCCAAGGAAGACATCGAGCGTATGGTCAACGACGCTGAGAAGTACCGCCAAGAAGATGAAGCCCAGAGGGATCGTATTGGCGCTAAGAACAGTCTTGAGAGCTATGCTTTCAACATGAAAAGCTCCATTGAGGACGAAAAAGTCGCGGACAAGATCGATGAGGCTGACAAGAAGACCATTCTTGACAAGTGTAGTGAAGTGATCCAGTGGCTCGACGCGAACCAGTCGGCCGAGAAGGATGAGTACGAGTATCAGCAGAAGGAGGCCGAGAAGGTCTGCACGCCTATCATGACCAAGCTGTACGCTGGTGCTGGTGGTGCTCCTGGTGGTATGCCCGGTGGTATGCCCGGTGGTCAGCCAGCTGGAGGCAGCAGCAGCGCCTCGGGCCCCACCATTGAGGAAGTTGATTAATTTATTATTGTGGTGTTGAACAAAACGTGTCCTGGGTTCTGATGAAATACTGTCCTAAAGCTTAACTCAGTTTATGCTCCCATTCCTTGCCAATTATTCCCGTAGCTATGCAGAAGACGTTACTTCAGGCGCGTCTGGCGCTAGCCAGGGTCCACACAGCTTTCATTTGGTGTTTGTGTGTTTGTGTCACGCCTGGCGCTATCCCGTATCTGTCCCGTACCGTACCGTACCATCAAACACAGCTGGCCACATACAGCTGGCCGCACTATTCAAATAGGGCTTTCAAACGCAAGATCATAACTTGAAGCAACTTGGAAGAATGAGTATGAATGCGAAGTGTATGGGGGAATGCATGTAGGGCGATAGTGCGGGTTCGAATCCCGGGTACTGTAAATATACAAAATTTCGGCAGCTATTTAATTTCGGCTATATTCGGCACCGACCCAAAACGCCTAAATTAAAACGCCGACGAATTTTTCACAGCATCTGTCGCACTATACCATACCCTCTACCCCACGCCGAAAATAAATCGCCGCCGAAATGTCAAAAATCGTGAAGTGCCGAAATTTTGCAGCGCCGAAATTTTGTATATTTACAGTATTAAATGCCTGAAAAAAATAGGAAAATTGAAAAATTTATAACATCCCTATTCTTTTTTTGCCGTCATCAAGGCGGTAACGTAGATGGTGTCGTATTACCCTGTCCCGTACCTGTCCCGTACCGTACAATCAAAGACGGCTGGCCACAATGCATATTCAAATAGGGCATTCAAATACAAGATCATAACGTAAAGCAACTTGGAAGAATTAGTGTGTATGCGAAGTGTATTGGGGGATGCATGCAGGGCGATAGTGCGGGTTCGAATCCCAGGTTATGTCTAAAAACAAAAAGTAGAAATTTATAAGAATTAACATTCTACTCCCCATGCTAGAGTATAGAGTAGACACACACGCGTGCAGGACGCGACACACCAAAAGACAAGAGAGTGAGTTTGGAAGAATGGGAATGTCGGGCAGAGTAGCTGGCCTCAATTGAGTGCGCGTTAACGAATCGTGTGGTCGGCCTACCGAGGGTAGGAGCTGTATATGACCAAGTGGGTCGGCCTGCGCTGAGCAGGAGCGGTTTGTGACCCATGCGAGTTGGTGGGTCGGCCTGCGTTGAGCAGGAGCGGTTTATGACCCATGCGAGTTTAATAGTAGTGCGCGAGAGGCCAGTTCCGGAGGAGTGCCCATGCCGACATTCCCATTAGGGCCAGAGGAGATAGCGGGTGATAACCAATATAGATGGTAAGTATGTATTGCACAAGAGCGTTGTTCTAGAGGCATAAAGACAGACTGATATTGTGGAGTAGGATCGACAGAGAACGCTATCTGCATCCTAAGTGAATGTCTTTGCACTTACTCGGTGATCGGCTGGACCATAGTGTCAGGCCGCTCCGCAGCTGTAGGAGCAAAGGTCCTGAAGGCATCCATCTTGTTCCGGGACAGGGCATCACTGCGGCGATGGTACTGGAATTTCCTGGCAGGTGCGATGCTCGGATCAGGAAATTGTGCTTCACACAGATTGAGTACAGGGTGCGGATGAGTGCTATGACTGCAGGAGACCGGCTCGTGCCCGTCTTCAGGCACTCCACGACAGCTTGGTTGTCGCACTGAAACTCCACACGCAGCCGCAGCCACTCGATCCCCCATGTGGCGCAGGCCGCGACAATGGCGAAGAGCTCCTTGTAGGTAATGCTTAGTTCCAGTTGCTGCGGAGACCAGTCACCTCTGAACCAGCGACCATTGAAGAAGGCTCCAAATCCAATGGTGCCACTTGCGTCGGTTTGCAACTGGAGGTCAGCGCTGGGCATCCACTTCTCCAGCAGGAAAAATGACTTTCCGTTCCATGTTGACAGAGTCTGGTGCCACCAGCTCAGGTCGCCCTTGGCGGAGGCTGAGAGGTGCAGCATTCGGTGAGATGACATCTCAGATGTGGCCTTGTCGAGGTCATACAGGCGGCGTAAGAATGTACGGGCGGCAGGAATTGCTCTGGAAGCGAACGAGAGGTGGCCCAGGAGTGAGGCGAGTTCGCGTTTGAGAACGCAACCCTTGTCGAGGGTGGTAGAGACTAAACGACGTAGGGCCAGAAGCTTGGACTGAGGCAGACGCACTTCCAAGCGATCGGTGTCCAGTTCCAAACCGAGGAAGGTGAGGACAGTGGAAGGGCCCTCAACTTTCTCTGTGGCGACAGGTATGTTCAAGAACTGGAACAAGTCCAAGATGATGGCCTTGTGCTTGGCCGCCAGGGAGGAGCTTGGTGGGCAGATGTCGAGGAAGTCATCGAGGTAGTGCATTACGTCGGGCAAGGAGCCGACATGGACAAGGACCCAGTTGATAGCCGTTGCCAGCTGGTTGAAGATGAATGGTGAGGAGCGGAGACCAAATGGAAGGACCTTCTCGTAATTGTACATGCCGTTCCAACGGATCCCGAGAAGATGCCAGTCCGAGGGGGCGACGGGACACAGGCGAAATGCATTACGGATATCTACCTTTGTCAAGAGGGAGCCCTTGCCGAGGCGCATACTGTAAAAGCAGAAAATTTCGGTGGTGTAATATTTTCGGTATTCGCCAAAATCGGCGGTTCGGTAGCGGGAAATTTTCGGTAAAACCCGTTCTCCGGGTAGGTGTACTAGTACTACATGTATACAGTATCGGTTGTACCGAAAATTTCGGTGCCTTTTATTTTCGGTAAAAATTGTCGGCACCGAAGTTACCGAAAATAAAACACCACCGAAAATTTCTGCTTTTACAGTAATGGCGGCAATTGCGGTGTCCACGGAGTCGTAATGCAGGCTGAACTGCCAGCGTGGTATAGCATCGTTGACACTGCTGCCATCGGGAGACGACAGGTCATGTATCACACGAAGTTTTCCATTGGACTTCGGCACAACACCCAGACCAGATGTCTGCATGCACAGAAAGGGTGGCTCCGGAAATGGACCTGCTGTTTGCCCAGCTTCACAACATTCGGTCAAATAGGAAGAAACATACTGCATATTACGGATAGCCGACAGGTGATTGGGAGAACTATGAACACCGGATATAGCAGCAGAATGTCCTATCGTGAAACCATGACACAACCCATGCAACACAAAGTGAGAGAAGGAGTGATCCGAATGACGGTTAAGGAGCCCGGCTAATCGGCGTACATTGATGGGGGTCTCCACAGAATGTTTACGGAGCAGACGCTGAGGTGGCGGACTGTCCCCTGCCACATTTGACTTCTGGGTGCTTCCCGCGGCATTGAAGGCACACATGGGCACGATAGCAGAATGAGTTGTTGCACTGGTCCTTGTTGAAGTTGCGGCAGATAGGCTTCCCCACAGAGTTTGAAAGCTGACTGCAGGCAAGGAAACTGGAAAGACAGCAAGCTCTGTTGTGCGCACAGGAAATCTGCGCATGCGCAGAGCGTGGGCATGTGATGTCTATGATACACTGCAGTATGTAGAGAGAGCGAGATCGTGCACACACGTAAGGAGGGTTATGCAACCCGTTATAAAGGCCAACAGCGAAGCAATGGTACGTGACTGTTAACAACGGTTAACTCCTACATTAACCGAACATTTTATAACATCCCCATGCTTTTTTTGTCTAGGTCATCAAGGCAAAAAGCATAGCGGCATAGGGCCCTGAGCTTCCAAACTCTCTCGTTTTTCAGACATGCACGTCTTCTGGACTGTCTAAATGTATTTATAATCCGTGTGATTGATACAAGACCTGTGTTCTCTGACCCAGCATCATCTCCGCTTTCTTTCTCCCGCTGGTCACACGTCCCTTGCACTATCCTCCTCTTTACTCTTGTGTTTTGCTGTTGTCTTGCGATTGCTTCACACACAGGGAAACTAACAGAGTTGTTCTTTGAGCATACGGTTGTCGGCTGTTGTGGTCCATGTCACTGAGGGCTTCATGATGCTTAGCGCCTCCGCCCCTTATGAAGTTATGGCGGGCCATGCATGTTCTTCTTAGCCATTTACAGGGCACCCCAGATGTGACTTGTTATGATGAAAATTCAGCAGGCGAGCATGCTTGGCATCAGTTGGGGGGGGGGGGACTGTTACTTTCCAAGGAGCTGCACCAAGACATTATGGTCCTCTGGTGTCCAGAGAGGTTCTAATCTTGATACAACCTAATGGTAATTTGTTGCCTCTGCCCCCCCCCCCCCTGGCCTGGTGACTGATTTCCTTATTTCCATGTTTTCCTTGGCTCACCAACTGCGTTCATACCTTCACCTTCACTACATTGCCATTGTACATGTAGTGCAATTTATGTACTAGTAGTTTTACTGTACATGACTATGCTGTAGACTCAATCTCCCCACATCAAAAATAGAATAATTATTAGGACAAAACGAAGTAGTGGTTGGGACTTCGGCGATGATTTGTAAGAAAGGGGTTGCTCTCAACAACTTCTCGTGTGCTCTGGTTGGCAGTCGTGAGTCAGTCAACTTACGGTGTCAAGTAAAGTCGGCGGAATAGCGCGAGCTCCGGTGTTGGGAGCAACCCCTTTCTTAATTATTAGGACACGTAATAGTAATAGCACTAGTAGTACATGCCGGAATGATATGATGGGCATTACTGGGGTACAGGTACCAGGGTTCACCATACCTTTTTTCTTACCCTTTTATTTCTCTCTCTCTCTCTCTCCCTCCCTCCCTCCCTCCCTCTCTCTCTCTCTCTCTCTCTCTCTCTCTCTCTCACACACACTGTAAGTGGTGCTTTTCAGGCAAAATCTTCCTCAGCCTACTCAAGCTCAATCCATCCTCGAGGTTTTCTCACTTCCTGATTACCCCCCTTCTTTACCAGTACCCTTTTCGCTTGCTTCTACTCAGACTTCTTATTTAACCTCTTCACATTAAAGGGGAAGTATACCCTAAAATCAAATTTTCACCAGTTGTAGTCTTCGGGGTGCTGAGTCGAATGGTCGTGGTCCGAGGAAGCTGAGACGCTCCCTTCCTACTTGAATCCCAATCGAACTCGCGCACTTCCACCGAAACTGGGTGACTGCGCCCTACGCGATTGGCCCATATGTTGTAGTCTTTTGGACGCTGAGTCGACTGGTTTTGGTCCGAAAAGGCTGCGATGCAGCGTTCCTCCTTTATTCCCAATCGAACATGGTTGAAGAAGCGGTCACGTGCTCCTGCGTACACCAGTCACCTGGTCACCGTGCCTGCAGGGTACAACTTACTAGCCTGTTTGACCTTTTTTGGGTGCAGTCCTGTCACTCGAGTTGAACTCGAGTTGAACCTTGGTGTGAAAGTTGTCGCCT